CATTTCTGAGTGCTTAGGTCCACATGATATATGAGGAGGTGTGTGTATGTGTGTTTACAATTTTGTTTTTGTGTGTGTGGTTTTTGCTACTGGGGAAGAAAAATCACAGTGATCTCCACAGTAATGGCTTATACTGCAGTGTTTGTGAGCCCATTACTGGGAATGAAATTCTATCCTTTCTTCTCCATTTTCCAGAGCTAGATTCTTTTTGCTTTTCTAGCCTTGTATTTGCTCTTATTTCAAGGCTTGCTATTAAAGCCATGCTACCATATAAGTACCCTAAAAAAGATAATGTTTTCTATTATCACCATCTCTACCTTCTCAATCCTTACCCCAAAATGTGTCTACTGGGCAGGCCATACCATCTAACAGAAGTGGTTGAAATGTCCCAACTGGGCTGAGCCCAAATTTAAAAATATGTATTCTTTTGTAAATTCTTCAATAAGATGACTTACAACATTTCCAATTTTAATCTAAGCATTTGGTCAGGAGTATCCACATGACAGTGTAATTGGAAAAATAAATGAATGTTTGCCTTTGGTTTCATTTTATTGCTTTTCAGAAGAAAGCCCCATATAATAATTTTCAGGTCCAGTTCTCTCCTCTCCAACCATGGGGTCAGGGGTGGGGTGCCAAAGGAGAGCTGGGAGGGGAGAGGAGAGGAGTAGTGGGAACTTCCTGCTATGTCTGTATCATTCTCTTATTGTAATGTCAGTGAAAAGAACCGCTGAAATGAGATTGATTTTTGAATCCCGTTTGAATGCCTTAATTTTATAAAAATGATCTAAAGGCTGGCATACGGTGGTTTATGCCTGTAATCCCAGCACTTTGGGAGGCCAAGGCGGGTGGATCACCCGAGGTCAGGAGTTCGAGACCAGCCTGGCCAATATGCCCTCTACTAAAAATACAAAAATCAGCTGGGTGTGATGACGGGTGTCTGTAATCTCAGCTACTTGGGAGGCTGAGGCAGAGAGAATCACTTGAACCTGGGAGGCAGAGGTTGCAGTGAGCCGAGATGGCGCCACTGCACTCCAACCTGAGCAACAAAGTGAGACTCCATCTAAAAAAATAAATAAATTAAAAATAAATAAATAAATAAATAAAAAAGATCTAAAATGCATAGAATAAAATTTCCCCTGCCTCAAAAACATTCCCAATAAAATGTAAAAAAAGAAAAAAGAAATACCCCGGCTGGGCCGGTGGCTCATGCCTATAATCCCAGCACCTGGGGAGGCTAAGGCAGGTGGATCACCTGAGGTCGGGAGTTTGAGACGAGCTTGACCAACATGGAGAAACCCCAACTCTACTAAAAATATAAAATTAGCCAGGCATGGTAGCACATGCCTTTAATCCCAGCTACTAGGTAGGCTGAGGCAGGAGAATCGCTTGGATCCAGAAGGTGGAGGTTGTGGTGAGCCGAGATCATGCCATTGCACTCCAGCCTGGACAACAAGAGCAAAACTCTGTCGAAAGAAAGAAAGAAAGAAAAGAAAGAAAGGAAAGGAAGGAAGGAAAGGAAAGAAGGAAATGAAGGAAGGAAGGAAAGGAAAGAAGGAAAGGAAGGAAGGAAGGAAAGGAAGGAAGAGAAGAAGGAAATGAAGGAAGGAAGGAAATGAAGGAAGGAAGGGAAGGAAGGAAGGAAGGAAGGAAGGAAAGAAAGGAAGGAAGGAAAGGAAAGAAAGGAAGGAAGGAAGGAAGGAAAGGAAAGGAAGGAAAGAAGGAAAGAAAGGAAGGAAGGAAGGAGGGAGGGAAATGCCCCAAGCTATTTTTTTTTTTTTTTTTTGAGAGTCATTACTGCTGTTTTCCTCCCCTGCAGAGGGGGTAAAGCCCTGTGGAGGGGAGGAGGCCACATCTAGCATGGATGGCTTACATACCCTTGCTCCAGGAGGAGCCCCAGGGCTTCTCACCAGCAGGCTAATTCTGGCAGCTCCAATTTCATGCCATGGCCTTTGTGTCAGGCCACTCCAGTACCTGTTCCTACAATGTCACTAAATATCTTCTATGTTATAAATGGGATAATGCATTAAACTAACTCTTTGCCTGGGCTACCGTTGGAAGGATGGTGTTGAACGCAATGTTCTGGCATCAGGGTGACTTTAAAGGAGGAAAAAAAATCACTGGGTTTAGACCCCTCTACCCTTCAAACCTCTATGGAAAACTATAGGAAAATGGATTGTGGAGGAAGGGAATCATTGAGTTATGGACCTTACTGCTTTGTCTGGCTAATTCCTATTCATCTTTTAAGACTCAGTTCAATGACATCTCCAGGAAGCCATCCTCACCCCTCTACACCTCTTTAACCCAATCCTTAGAATGGATTAAAGGCCCTGATTAAACATACCAGTTCCACTTCAATTACATCACTACCCTGCTATATTGGGGCTGTAACTCAGACACGGGCAACAGAAATGTATAGTCAATAGGAAAAATGGAGCAGACTTTAATTTCAATACAGCATAAAGATGTGGTTTGGAAGATCCTACTGTGCTGTGTGTGTGTGGAAGTGATGGAGAGTTCATAAATCCAGTTCTCAGGATGAACTAAGAGGGAGGGAAGCATGGTGGCTCTAGAGGTAAAGATAAAAGGAACTGAGCAGTGCGTTCCAGTTCCACGAACTTTGAGGAAAATGGGCCTTGTTCTCAGCACAAGTTCAGGATGGCAGACACACAGCCCAAAATGAAAATGGATTTTTCAAGTGATATTACAAAGAAAAGATGACACACTGGCCTTTTCCTGATTAATCACAAGATTAAAAGCTGAAAAACCAGACCCAAGCAGCCTCCTTGCATAGATGAAATAATACACTCCAGCTTAAAAAGAAGTAATAGAAGGGTATTTGCTATTTTCAGTGTTTTTCTAAGTAGTTGTGAGCTGTCAAAAGGGATTGAGGCTTATCAAGGAAGGTAAATGGCCTTTAGCCCAGTGACAGGTCATTTCCTTAGAGATAACATCTGGGAAGGTTTCAGCTCCCTGAAAAGGAATATACAGCTTCCTGTAATTTTGTTTTTTTTCAGTTTAGTAGAGAGAAAAATTCATACCTTACAGATCTAAAGTGTTAGATAAGGTTCTTCTGTTTCTGTCCACCTTCCTCGACATCAGTAGACACAGAATGATAAACCAAATTGGTTCCCATGAAGCTTACAAAACTTTCAAGAGGTGACCACAGGAGGCCAACCTGTTTTTTGAGATCTTTGGGATCTTGCGAGTTCTAGGTATTCCTCACTCTTACTTTAAAATTGCAGGTAAGTTGTAAATTAGGTGCCTTGGAAAATGCGCAATTGCCGTAAGTTGGTTCTCATGTAATGAGGTGGAAGACGCCGGGGATGGATTTGAGAGGAATAAGCTCAACACAGGCTCACTGGATCAATTACAACCAAGGGATGCGGATGCAGAGCTAGGAGTGTGTAGGAGGCTGTGATTCAGGGAAGGCGGACTGGATTATACCTCACACTTAATTTTTGCAGCATATGTTTTAAAGCATATGTGTAATGGGCCATAACCACAAATTCAAACAAATATGGTTTCTTAAGTAAATTAACCCAATGGGTAAAAAAGGGGTGACTTCCATCCAGGGAACTCCATTTTTAGGTCTGCTTAAGTGACTAACCTAAGATTTTGAGTAAACTCTTCAAACTTTCTGAGCCTCTTTTTCCCCCTGAAGTGCCAAGTGGAGATATTTAGACATCAGCACTTTTTCAGATATACAAGTGAAGAATGTAGCTTTAGACAACTGGGGAAATAATGTGGGATCCCAACATAGTACAACCTGCACACAAATCCCCTAAGAGCCAGCCTCACAACCAAATAGCAGAACCTTTTCTTCCATGCCTCTCGAGCCGTGTGCAGCAGGAAGTTAAAACTACTGGGCACCAATAAATCCTTTAATAGAAATAGCTATCAAAATCTGTTTAAACCATCTGTTTCTCTGGCTATTTTTCCTCCCAGTGTTTTTCTTTCATGTGTTCTTTGCTAACAACAACCAAAAGAATCTATTCTAAAATAACCAAGATGTTATGACTAAAAATGCTAGAGGTATATATCCAGTTTATGAGAGAAATTGCTTTCTGAAGAGGAGTTAGGTTTATCTTGTGTGGCGGAAGACAACATTTCCAAAAATATTATACTTGCACTAAGAAAATAACCAACTACTTTCATTAAAAGGGAATGCAACAAGATTTGTATTTGTTCCTGTAATTGAATTTAATGCTGCTGAAATTTGTCAGGCCTGAAAGCAGTTGAAGTTTCAGATCATGTTTTTACATTGGCAAAAATTGCCTAAGAAATTGTCTCTCAGGCAGTACAGAGTAGGTCTTCTGATAAACTTAAAAGGATCACGAATCAATCATTGTATGTACTTGCCTAAGGCTTAGCACCAGTGAGTACCTCTGGGGATATTTTCTTTGGAGAGGAAGACTCTGTGAGACACTCACTGTTTATGGAGTGGCCCTACTTCTGACCTGTCTAACAATTCACTCTTTTCCCTTTGGTGTCTCTTGTGTAGAGACTGGTGACCATAAACATGTGGAGTCATGTATGGTTTCATTTCAGCCAATAGTTTTGCAACTGTTTTTTTCCTTTCTAGAGTGAAGGAGTTTATGATCTCATCTATACACCTCTAAGTCTCATTCTCTTAATAGTTTCAGATTTTCCACAGAAGTTCCATTACATATTTAAAATTTCTTTTTTGTTGTCATTGTTGAGATGGAATCTCACTGTCGCCCAGGCTGAAGTGCAGTGGCACGATCTTGGCTCACCGCATCCTCTACCTTCCAGGTTCAAGTGATTCTCCAGCCTCAGCCTCCTGAGTAGCTGGGATTACAGGCATGCACCACCATGCCTGGCTAATTTTTTTGTATTTTTAGTAGACACAGGCTTTCGCCATGTTGGACAGGCTGGTCTCGAACTCCTGACCTCAAGTGATCTGCCCGCCTCAGTCTCCCAAAGTACTGGGATTAGAGGCATGAGCCACTGTCTTTAATATGCCATTCTCTGTCTCTCACCTGGGTTCACCTTGGTTGATGGACATATAAATCTCCCAAGAATTCTCCTCTGGGATGGCACCGTGCGGTATGAGTAAGCTCACCCCTAAAATGGAAAAAGCCAACAGGTTATTCATAGAGTTTTCCAATTATCTTGAAGTTCCTCACTCAAGCATCTTACAGATACTTGAAAAACAAGCTACTTCCTCATGGCAATTTATGAAATCTCAATCCTTGGAAAGTTTAAGGTTCAAGATTATAACAGGAAAAACATTGTTTTATAACAGTGACATAAAGAAGGGCATATTATTCAACTGAGTACTCAGATTACTTTTTTAAAATTTCAAGTCATCCCAGCATTAATTATTTTAAAAGATTGAGTGTTCTAAGACCAGGCAGTATTAAACATATCTGAGAATGTAAGAGTTTATCCACGCATCACTTAATCTGCTCCAAAATTTGAAAAAGGTATTTCTCTATTTGTTTATTTCCTGCAAACCTACATGAAATGATGGAGAGGAAGCTGTCTTACCAATGGTGCATCTGGAAGCAAGGTGAAGGTGGTACTCAGTGGGGTGTTGCATTTTGTCAAGAAAAACAGAAAGTGAAAGTATCTGATGTGCTCAGGAGCCTTATAGGTTATTGTGCATCCAGTATGACCCTTTCTAGCAAACAAGCTAGAAAGGGTTAAGGTGAAAGTTACTTAACCAGAGTCATGTCAATGTCAGATTGAAAAAACTAACAGCCTTCCTTACATAAAATCATACAATGCAGGAAGGGAAGGCACAGGAAGCCACATCTCACTGCATCTTAAAGGTCCTCTCTTTCCTCTATGAAGAAAATACTGTACCTTGGCCAAGAGAGAAGAGTCTAAGGAGGGCAGGGATTCTCTTTAATGTAGCTTTTTGAAGAACAGAAATTATAACAAACTGTCTCTCAGACCACAGTGCAATCAAACTAGAACTCAAGACTAAGAAACTCAATCAAAACCACTCAACTACATGGAAACTGAACAACCTGCTCCTGAATGACTACTGGGTACATAACGAAATGAAGGTAGAAATAAAGATGTTCTTTGAAACCAATGAAAACCAACATACAACATACCGAAATCTCTGGGACACATTTAAAGCAGTGTGTAGAGGGAAATTTATAGCACTAAATGCCCACAAGAGAAAGCAGGAAAGATCTAAAATTGACACCCTAACATCACAATTAAAAGAACTAGAGAAGCAAGAGCAAACACATTCAAAAGCTAGCAGAAGGCAAGAAATAACTAAGATCAGAGCAGAACTGAAGGAGATAGACACACAAAAAACATTCCAAAAAATCAATGAATCCAGGAGCTGGTTTATTGAAAAGATCAACAAAATTGATAGACCATTAGCAAGACTAATAAAGAAGAAAAGAGAGAAGAATCAAATAGATACAATAAAAAATGATAAAGGGGATATCACCACCGACCCCACAGAAATACAAACTACCATCAGAGAATACTATAAACACCTCTACACAAATAAACTAGAAAACCTAGAAGAAATGGATAATTTCCTGGACACTTACACTCTCCCAAGACTAAACCAGGAAGAAGTTGAATCCCTGAATAGACCAATAGCAGGCTCTGAAATTGAGGCAATAATTCATAGCCTACCAAAAAAAGTCCAGGACCAGACGGATTCACAGTCGAATTCTATCAGAGGTACAAGGAGTTGGCACCATTCCTTCTGAAACTATTCCAATCAATAGAAAAAGAGGGAATCCTCCCTAACTCATTTTACGAGGCCAACATCATCCTGATACCAAAGCCTGACAGAGATACAGCAAAAAAAAGAGAATTTAAGACCAATATCCTTGATGAACATCGATGCAAAAATCCTCAATAAAATACTGGCAAACCAAATCCAGCAGCACATCAAAAAGCTTATCCACCATGATCAAGTGGGCTTCATCCCTGGGATGCAAGGCTGGTTCAACATACGCAAATCAATAAACGTAATCCAGTATATAAACGGAACCAAAGACAAAAACCATGATTATCTCAATAGATGCAGAAAAGGCCTTTGACAAAATTCAACAGCCCTTCATGCTAAAAACTCTCAATAAATTCGGTATTGATGGAACGTATCTCAAAATCATAAGAGCTATTTATGACAAACCCACAGCCAATATCATACTGAATGGGCAAAAACTGGAAAAATTCCCTTTGAAAACTGGCACAAGACAGGGATGCCCTCTCTCACCACTCCTATTCAACGTAGTGTTGGAAGTTCTGGCTAGGGCAATCAGGCAAGAGAAAGAAATCAAGGGTATTCAGTTAGGAAAAGAAGAAGTCAAATTGTCCCTGTTTGCAGATGACATGATTGTATATTTAGAAAACCCCATTGCCTCAGCCCAAAATCTCCTTAAGCTGATAAGCAACTTCAGCAAAGTTTCAGGATAGAAAATCAATGTGCAAAAATCACAAGCATTCTTATATACCAGTAAGAGACAAACAGAGAGCCAAATCATGAATGAACTCCCATTCACAATAGCTTCAAAGAGAATAAAATACCTAGGAATCCAACTTACAAGGGATGTAAAGGACTTCTACAAGGAGAACTACAAACCACTGCTCAGTGAAATAAAAGAGGACACAAACAAATGGAAGAACATGCCATGCTCTTGCATAGGAAGAATCAATATTGTGAAAATGGCCATACTGCCCAAGGTAATTTATAGATTCAATGCCATCCCCATTATGCTACCAATGAGTTACTTCACAGAATTGGAAAAAACTGCTTTAAAGTTCATATGGAACCAAAAAAGAGCCCGCATTGCCAAGACAATCCTAAGTCAAAAGAACAAAGCTGGAGGCATCACGCTGCCTGACTTCAACCTATACTACAAGGCTACAGTAAACAAAACAGCATGGTACTGGTACCAAAACAGAGATATAGACCAATGGAACAGAACAGAGCCCTCAGAAATAATACCACACATCTACAGCCATCTGATCTTTGACAAACTTGACAAAAACAACAAATAGGGAAAGGATTCCCTATTTAATAAATGATGCTAGGAAAATTGGCTAGCCATAAGTAGAAAGCTGAAACTGGATCCTTTCCTTACTCCTTATACGAAAATTAATTCAAGATGGATTAGAGACTTAAATGTTAGACCTAAAACCATAAAAACCCTAGAAGAAAACCTAGGTAATACCATTCAGGACATAGGCATGGGCAAGGACTTCATGTCTAAAACACCAAAAGCAACGGCAACAGAAGCCAAAATTGACAAATGGGATCTAATCAAACTAAAGAGTTTCTGCACAGCAAAAGAAACTATCATCAGAGTGAACAGGCAACCTACAGAATGGGAGAAAATGCTTGCAATCTACTCATCTGACAAAGGGCTAATATCCAGAACCTATAAAGAACTCAATCAAATTTATAAGAAAAAAACAAACAACCCCATCAAAAAGTGGGCAAAGGATACGAACAGACACTTTTCAAAAGACATTCATACAGCCAGCAGACACATGAGAAAATGCTCATCATCACTTGCCATCAGAGAAATGCAAATCAAAACCATAATGAGATATCATCTCACACCTGTTAGAATGGCAATCATTAAAAAATCAGGAAACAACAGGTGCTGGAGAGGATGTGGAGAAATAGGAACACTTTTACACTGTTGGTGGGACTGTAAACTAGTTCAACCATTGTGGAAAACAGTGTGGCGATTCCTCAAGGATCTAGAACTAGAAATACCATTTGACCCAGCCATCCCATTACTGGGGATATACCCAAAGGATTATAAATCATGCTGCTATAAAGACACAAGCACACGTATGTTTATTGTGGCACTATTCACAATCGCAAAGACTTGGAATCAACCCAAATGTCCATCCGTGACAGACTGGATTGAGAAAATGTGGCACATATACACCATGGAATACTATGCAGCCATAAAAACGGATGAGTTTGTGTCCTTTGTAGGGACACAGATGCAGCCGGAAACCATTATTCTCAGCAAACTGTCGCAGGAACAGAAAACCAAATACCACATGTTCTCATTCATAGGTGGGAATTGAACAATGAGATAACTTGGATACAGGAAGGGGAACATCACACACCGGGTCGTATTGTGGGGAGGGGGAGCGGGGATAGCATTAGGAGATATACCTAATGTAAATGATGAGTTAATGGGTGCAGCACACCAACATGGCACATATATACATATGTAACAAACCTGCACATTGCGCACATGTACCCTAGAACTTAAAGTATATAAAAAAAAAAAGAAATGAAATAGAGAAACAATAAGATCCTTACAAAATAAAATCTGAAGGCACTCTCCTATTCTTTGAGTAAGGCAGCTCTCACCTTCTTTTCCTTTCATTAGAGCTAATGTAATCGCTCAGAAAACTTTCAGGTTGTTATGATAATTTAAATCTAGAGATGACAGGCTTTCCTGATCTCCTTCTATGTGCCTATTAGCAGCTACAAAAACAAAAAATGTAAACCTCATTGCAAAACAAGTTATTTATGATTCCCATTATAAGCATTATTCAGTAATATGCTAGTTATCAGTATCTTTCACCAGCACTAAGAATAAGGCACATTTAAATCTTGGTTACAGCTTTGTAGCATGGAGATCCATTTATGTTCTGGACCTTAATGTCAACAGAACTATAATGGCCACACTTAGAGAGGCTCTTCCCTCTATTGTCTATTCTTCCTTAAATGTAGTTGCCAAATGAAGGGGCCTCCATTATAACCGTCCCTGCTGCTAACCACAAGTTGCAATACGCAGGACATCCAGTGTTCTTGGAAGTCAACGTGAATACATGCCCTTGACATTCTGTCTTCTCTTAGTTTGACTTAAAACTTCCTCTCTGCTGCTGCTCTTTCAGGCTGTCTAGGTCATTATGATGACAGAGACATGCAGTCTGAATTCTTCCAACTTAGAAGTACAGGAAACAATCATCAAACAATAATAATAATATTAAATCAATTACACTTATCACAATGCCACTCATGGAGCAGGAAGCCAATAAACACATCATGAAGATATAAATGAAACAGGATTCAAAATTCTTAGTAAAAATGCCAGGTTCCAAGACATGTTAGCTTCTGTAGATCATCATAGCCTGATGGCCAATTCTCATAACAAAACAGAAGATGTATATGTGAGGACAATTGAGGAAGAGCTGTCTGTGCAGATCACACCTTATTCCTTTCAAGTTGGCTTAATTCTCTGTCTTTAGATTGAGACATTATTCAGAATACTCCTAAATTCAACCTGAATCTATAGGATCACTGGAGCTTTAAATGATTTTTCTCTCTTCAATCAGAAATGGTGTTATCTTTCAAACATACTTCTCCTGCTCCTCCTGCCCGAACATGCAAATACTACGTGGAGTCTGAAATAGTCATACACAAAGGCACGTGGGGAGTGGCAAATTACAGATCGTGAAGAATGAGAGACACTCTGGGACAGCTTTATGCCTATGATCCCCTAAAGTAGAATTCATTTCAATATGTCATTCGCCAGTTATCTCTGATTAAAGAAAAATATAATACCCCCATACTCCACCTGCTACCCTGACAGCCTTTTATTTGATATGACCACAGAAGCACCAGTCTGAGCTTCCTGTTTTATATTTGGAATAATAAATAATTTCTAGAGTGTGGAGACCACCCTAACCTTTTGGAGAAATCACTGCCAGGCACCATACAACAATTTAGGATGGATGGCATTAGAGCAATCTAATCTCAGTGCCTTGCTTTCTTTATACTTTTGCTCCCTAGGGCATATTTTGCATTTATTTCCTGCAAATAACGGAGCATATGTTTTATTTCTCCACAGTTATTTTACATCAAACTCATTCCTAGTGAACAGCTTCAATCTTGTCCAACACTTCTTGTTAGGAGCTTTGAAAATGCCCCATTTCAGGGAGAAACTGTTTGGGAATCACTGACAATGCTGTCAGAACTTTTAGTTTTCAACATGAGTGCTGCTCAAGTCAGAGGTGAAGATAAATCTCTGGTTCATCATGATTTCATCTCGCTGTCTTTGATGAACAACAAACACCACCAATGAAAGGGTTGGTCATGGCACTCCCTCTACACATGGATAAACAGATGCGCACACACACATACATACACTAAGAAAGGAGGATGCAAATAGAGAGAAGGAGTAATGGGCAGTTTATCAACTAATAACCACTGAGAGCCTTGTAAGTGCCAAGCATGAGCTAGAAAGAGATAAGATAAATGCACAAGTTAATGCACGGCTTTATATGATTCTGTATTTTTGTTTTTATGTCATTTTTTTTAGAGACAGCAACTTCCTATGTTGCCCTCACTGGTCTCGAATTCCTAGACTCAAGCGATTTCCCCACCTCAGCCTCCTGAGTAGCTGGGACTACAGGTGTGTGCCACCACACCCTGCCAAAATTTGTATAATTCTGATACGTCCTGTTCTTTTTGAGAGGGCAAGGGTGGTATTCTTTTTCTTTCCTCAGGACTCACATGTTTAGTTTATAGATTCTTACAGAAAAGTTAATTGGTAAATATGGCTGATTGACTCATTATCCATCAAGTCTCCTATTTGCCAGTTACCAACTGGAAGAATTAAATCATGCATAGTCATTCACACATTGACACACATACACATTTGAACCAAGATCCTTACCATGTCCTAAAACACTGACCAAGGAAGATTTAGAGAATTAGAAATTTAAAAAACAAAACCTTTCCATTACGGCTGCCATTGAGGGCTATTTTGATGAAGTAAAATATGTTTTGAAATGAAGATTTTAAGAAAGTAATTGCTCTAGGGGAGAACAAGACAACATTCATCAACTAGAAATGAATTTCAGTCTCCAGTCTCTAAGCTACTAGAGGGGTCAGTTAGCTATAATGGTAGAATCAGACTAGTCCTATCACAAGATTTTATTTATGGTATGAAATGCTTGATTTGAGAGATTGGTGAGTTCTACCCTCCACAGATATAGAGACATCTGTCTAAACTATAATGTCCCTGACTCAATGCTGACCTGTTGTTTGATAAACACAGATTCAACAGATTCTCTTCCTTCTTAGCAGCCAACAGATCACTACCTGCTTCAGTGCACTATGTAATTCTCATTGCTTAGAAATCCGAGCAGAAATTGACCTTGTCTACCATCCACTTAGGTCTTAGGCAGCAACTCTGAAAACTAATCCATAGAAAGGATATCATTTGGGCTGGATACCTTAAGTATCATGTCAAAACATCATGAAAATCTCCTCTCTTCCAGCCAAAAGGAGGAAAAAATATGTGAGAATTCATTATACTGACACAGCCCTGGAACTGAAGTTTGAATTCAAAAGAGCAACTGCACAACGACCCCTCACGATTGCTCATCAGAGAGTAACACTATAGCAAGGGCTATGGAGTGTTCATTAGGTCAGTTACTGATGAGATGCCGTTTCACTAAATTATCTAAATTATCAAACTCATACATAAACCATGCTTCCATGTAAACATGGGGCCCTGGTCTGTCATGCCAGAGAATTTTTTCAGTGCTTTCTGATCATGCCTAGGAAATACACTCCAAAGGGGCTTAAAGCCTGGGGACTACCCAAACCTTTCAGGCAAATATAGTTGTCAGCTCTAATAGGGAATCAAAGGGAGCATTCAGTCCATGCTGAGATGAAGACTGCAAAATCTCATCTCAGCGCTGGTTCTGGTTTGCTGTGTAAATCAAGTGGACTAGTGGAGCTGCAGTGTTTGCAGGTCTGGTGAGGGGATGGTAAACATCATAAAATGAATCTGATGGGAAGTAACTGTGTAAAAATGAAACATTTATACGTTGGAAAATAGACAAACACACACTTACCACCCACCTGTATTTGGCATTACTAAGCGCCCCCCTAAATGGCCAAAGACACCAGTTGTCCTCAGTTCTGTCCTTGTGGGGAGTGATGACAGATTTTGGATGTAGGGTGTTTTGTTTCTGGGATGCATTGTACTAAAGCTGTGGTTGTTTCCATGGGGAAAAGTCCTGGAATGATTCTTGCCATGGTACTCAGCTCTCTCAGACACTCCCAGGGAAACCATGAATGAGCTCTGGACTTTGACTTTGATGTCCGACAAAGGGTTAAAGAGTGAGGACTCTGTCATGAGCTCCTTGTCCAGAGGGTCCTGCAGACAGATGGGTCCACTGTACGTCCGGCTCACTGTCAGATCTGGCTGCATGGCGGAATTCAGGAGCAGGGAGTTACCTGGTAAAAGAAAATTGATCTGTCACTCAGAAACTAAAAGGCCTCTCAGTTACCCCTGTACTTCTGCCTCTACAAACTGTACAACAGCCTGCATGGGTGCCAGCAGTTCCAATCCAAGCTAGCTCTTCAGGCCCACCCTGCCAGGTTGGGTGCTAGTGACTAGAACTTTTGAATCAAGAGCCCTGGCTTCCACAGTCCATTCTCTAAATGGCACTGACCCAAATCTTTCACTTTCCAGAGATCTTTCCTTCCTATCTTTTCAAAACAAGTATTTCTGGCATTCTCTCCAGCAACGAACTCAGGTATTATGGTTTATGTGATTATTTCAACTGGCAAAGAGAAGCTAAAATAACAACAACAAAAAAAAGTGGGGAGAGGATGGAGAAAGATGTTTTGCAGTTGAGTTTTGAGCAAAAATAACATCTGTTCATTTTAAATGGCAAGAGATGACACAGCGCGGTGACTAGGCAGTGCTGTTTATAACAGAAGCTACTTTGGTTCCAGTGCATTTCCTATGGAATTCTGCATAGATTCTGGAGCTGGGGAGGAAATGATTTGTCCTCAGAGCAAAAGGGTCAGGGCACCTCATGAATCGCACCACATCTGAGTAGCTAATTTGCTCTAATAACTCATATGTCACTCTGTGAGGGAAAGAATGCACCACCCAGAGACAGTGAGAAGCTGATTCCACATAGGGAGCAGCTTAGTATGGTTTCCTTTCTGTCTCAAAGGGAAAAATATATATATAACATCTTTGCAAAAACATGAGAAATCGGGCTTTGTCATCTGCTAGGGCTCGCCAATTTTTTCCAAGCCAAATATTAAAAAGAAATGCTGTGATATTTTCTTGTGATGAAGTAATCTCATTTATTAGTAAATAACAAAATAACCCTCAGTCCCAAGCTTCCCACCCATATCAGTCTGTCAATGTGACATCTCAAATTGAAAGCCAAACCATATTAAACAATTTTCCTTTGGGGCCTGACAAAAATGTTTAAAGTATGATCTTTTTGAAAATGTTGCAATTCTGGGCCATATTGTATTAGCCTCTATTGTTTTTCCATTTTCATAATTTGCAGCAATGCCAGCAGGGAATCTATCACCCTAACTTTTCCCACTTCTTGTTCTGATGCTCTAAGAATCCAGAGTAATAGAGGAAAATACACAAATTGGATGAAATAAATAATGCTATAGAGCTAAAGGATACTTGATGATGTGTTTTTTGTTTGTTTGTTTGTTTGTTTTCCATGCATGGGCATGTTGTATCAAGACCCAGGCACAGGGAGTTGTGCTTTCTAGCAGGTCTGCACTGAGTTCTGGGTGACCACTTTGCTTCTGTTTATGGTCTTCCTAGGCAAGAAGCAGGACCAAAACCCATCTTAGATTAGAAAAGAGTTTAGAACAGGAGATTCCATGGAGACCTCAAAAGCCCGTATGCCTGTCACCTGGCTCTTTTATCTCAAGCCCTGGCCTCTGAAGTTTAATTTTTGGCTACGCTTAGAAGATCTGCCTAGCCTAAGTGACACAAGGAAGCAACAATATTTCCTAGAATGAGATAGCACTTGAGTGGGAAATGCCTGATTCTGGACATACGTACATATAATAGCATCCAGGGTCAGAGAAAATTGGCTGCCAGCTTGACTGAAGTCTGACCAGTGCCAATTACCCACCCCTGGTCACCCCAATCTTCTCTTTGGAAATCCTTTTACAAGTCCCTGGTCTGTTCTGTGTATGGCATTCTATTTAAAAGGCCCAGTATTCAACTTGCTGGGGCACTTGATGTATTGCTCAAAAACGGATCTCTCTAAGACAGTGGAGGTGAAAACCACATGATATCAGCATGAGGCAGATCACCATAATAAATACACAGAGAGTGACGTTTGCCAAAGTACTTTGCTTGTATCATTAGTTCTGTGATATACTTGGCCAAAAACAAAAATAAAACAAAACGGTCAGATAAGTTTGGTAAGACTAATATAGTCTTAGAGATTCACAATACACATAAGTTGTGTTTAAGTGTAGGTAAGTCAGCACTCCCCAGACATGTGTAGGCCAGGGATCCACCCCTCTCACCTGCTGCCTGGTGCTCCATGGAAGACGCTGGCATCTCGTGCTAGGGTAAGAGGAAACAACCAGCTTCTAGAACTCTATTCACCGCATTTGTGAGCACCCATATGCCAAGGGCTTACCCATGTTGTTCCAGGTAATCTATCATCCTCACAAGAACACTTTGAGGTGAATGTTACTAACCCCATTTTATAGCTCTAAAACTTGAGACTAAGAGGATAACAGACTGACTGATAGCAGTTTTAGACTAAAATCTAACTTCAAAGCCTATGGTCTTATGCACAAAACTGTCTCTCACACTAATATTGCTCCTCTATTTTCAAGTGTTATAGTCTAAGATATTTTATTATTTGATGAAAATATGTTTCTAGTTTTTTATGTAGCATAAAAATCAGTTCTTGACCCAGTAACTCATTCCTATAATCCCAGCACTTTCAGAGGCTAAGGTGGGAGGATCATTGAGGTCACAAGTTCGAGATCAGCCTGAGCAACATAGTGAGACCCTGTCTCTAGAAAAAATAGAAATAAAACAAAAACTTAGCTTGGTGCGGCGACATGTGCCTGCAGTCCCAGCTGCTGAGGTGGAAGGATCACTTAAGCCCATGGGTGGGAGGCTACAGTGAGCTATGATTACACCACTGCACTCCAGCTTGGGTAATACCACTTAAAAAATCAGTTCTATATTTGGATTTATTTCCAATTCTCTACATATACTAAACTATATGTCCAAATGTAGGGGATGTGTCCCTTTTGAGGCCTAACTCTGAGGTGCCCAGAAGTGAATGGCAAGAGGGAAGGTACTCATCTCTCTGGCCATCTCTCAATTTTTTCCAGCATGCCTGTGTTTCCACTTCGGAAGCCTGTCTAGTCAATCACTGCCTTGCACTGAGACTTCTGGTTCCACGCTGTAGGCATCACTGATGCACAATAAACAGAAATAAAGGTGACGATATTGACGATGAGGGTCAAAGTAGAAAACTTCATCCTCTGAAAAGAGACAGTTTCATTTTTTTCTAAAATGAAAGCCGTGTATGTTTCATCCCCACCTTGCAATAAGGAATAGATTTGGTTCCTATAAGAGAATTAAATGGCTCTGTTTTGAAAATGAGTATTGCTACAATTTGACATGATAGATTTTCCTTCCCCCACAACTAAAGATTGCTTGGACTTGGCAACAGCTGAGAGTCATTTAGGCTGGAATTTCATTTTTTTCCCCCGGTTGGCTGACCCATTATCTATTCTCTAAAATTTGTTTACTTATTTAAAATAGAAATAACAAAATTACTCCACTTCATAAATAGGGTAATAAATATACCTGGGAGGTTGTGATATAGGTGTTAGTCCTCGGTCTTGAATAATCAATACTTGGGTTAACTAAATATACATTCTCAAAAGGACATTTTTAAAAAGAAGTATAATTTGAAATAAAATAACTCATTAGGCTGACTGTACATCAAAAATGGAAATGCCTCATTGAAAATGTTGCTGATAATAAGCCAAGACCTTCTTGTCCTTGTGGCAGACAAGGAGATAAGCAGACCACTTCACCCAGCCTGGTCTGTTCATGTGTGAAGACAATTTGGCAGCGGCTCCCCGTGCCAAGAGCTACCTTCACACGGGGCCCAGGAGAAGGCTGGGGTCCAGTGTGAGCGTAGTCTATGGTACTGAGGACGAGGTGTGGAGGGACCTACGCCGCTGACCTTGACGGACTGTTTTGAAGTTGAAGGTCTGGAAGCCACCTGTCAATGCAGAAGAGTCAATGACGTCCACGCCATAGTCACTCTGGCTCCGTCTATAAAGGGTGACACCAATGACCAGGACTGCAACAGCCACGACGGCAGCACCCAAGCCCGAGTACAAAGCAATGTCGCTGGTATTCTCTATGCCTGAAAGACACAAGAGAAATCGTAAGTGACCAGCATGAGCACAAAACCAAAGAACCACTAAGGGATACAAAAGGAAATGCTATTGGATTTTTGGAGCTACTGCTCAGAGAAAATGACAGATGTACAGTGAACACAAGTTGTACTCATTTTCACACAATAATCGTGTTTCTAAAATGCCGTGTATAAATCAAAGGGATGCTAGGCAAATATCTTAACTGCACTAAGGTAGCTTAGCATGTAATAGACTCCTGAAGATAATCAATTTTGCAAAGAAAATAGTATTTTTTTCTAGTAAGAGCAGATACCTCCTTAGTTTAGGATGTCATGTTTATCTGCAAAACACTTTTTATATTTTCCTTTTACCAGAGCGAGGGCAGACCCACACACAGTGATAAAATATGGGTGATCTGCTCTGCTTATGTGAAACCTGGGGCACATGCATTTGCAGAGAGCAGTCTAGGGCAAGGAGATAACACAAAGTCTATGAGTTGAGAAAAAGACCAGAGTTCACAGATACGAATTTTAGCATTGGCACAAATCATTAAGAGTACACTGACAACATCAGTTTAGGGCATATAGTCATTATGAGAGAATTTTATTGTGGGATATGAAGGTCGTGGTCCCAGGTGCTGTTATGTCCATGGTAGATGTTTTCTGACACCAATTAAATGCTAGACTCTAATAATTTATTGTGGAAGAGGACGGGTCGCTAAGACGGCACATGCTGTTTCTCCCATACCTCTCCTACTCCATCCTATTGAATGCATGGGCAAAGCAAAAATAAAAGCGTTAGTTTGCATTTAGAATGTGGGTGCCTCCCCACCCCACGAGATGTGCTGTAGCTGCTTTTCACCCTTTTTCTAGAGGTGCGTTGGGTGTGGTTATTCCTGTAGCAGATCCATGATGGTTCCTGCAATACAGCACACGAGATTTATCTGAGATGACATAAGCCTCAAAGAGGTGTAATCTTAGAAGGTGTGTGAAAATGGAAGATGGCAAATGCTAACTACATAGTTAATCTTCCTACAGATTATGTGGTAAGTGCACTTAATGGGTCCAAAAGTAATTACTCTGTCACCCCTGTGTTGGGCTTAGAGGATAAAATAAACCTATCATATGTTTACCTTGTAATTGTGCAGCACTTACTATGCATTCACTGCACCCTAATATGGTACTTATGTTATCAAATGAGTAATACTAACCACACAAGGAAAGTGAATTTATTTTCGACAAAGTTAGTAGAGTGTAAAATAAGGTGCTACCAAATTAAAGAGTGAACGAGGAAATCAAGCAGAACTGGTTCAGTAATAGGGCAATAAACACATAAAAATAATTCTCAAGTGAGAACACAACCATCAAAAAAAAAAACACAAAAACAGCATCTGAAAGGTCAGAGGTTTATCAAATACCTTTAATCGCCAGAACAGCGTGATGGCTGCTCAGAAACAGGGTGTGATTTAGACTTCCATTCCAGCTTCATGATGATTCAAAGGTGAGAGAGACAGGAATGGAGCCTATTTCTCCAACCACTCATAACGATGGCTGAGATGATAAATGACCTCAGTTTCCACATGTGCCTCTGTCATGTGGGGGAAGAAGGAGGGCAGCTATCGTTCTTAAGCTCCCACCTTCCCTCTACTCAATTAAATACCTTGGAGGGAATAATTATTCCCAGAACAGAGAACACAGAACACAGCAGATGCATCATGCCAGTGTATGGGAAGCAGTGAGGGAACTTTGGATTGAAACCAACTAGCATTTTCCCTCCCTTTCCTCCAGTTCCTTGGGCACTGCTGACGGATGACACTCTCACCTTAAAAAGTGTATCTGGGGAGAACACATCTGGTCAGCAAATGAGCACATACAGAGAAGCAGCCTGGCAGTGTGCAGAATGCAACTCCTTTATTGCTGAGTTGACAAAGTAGAGACAAAGGCATCCTCAGTTTTCCAGGTACTAAAATAGGAAGGACCAGAAGCCAGGAGGATGACCAGGGCAAGACGCCTGGGCTGGAAATGGATTTTGGTGGCAGTGAACATCCTAAGACAAAACGAAGCAGCAGGAACAAGTTTTCTTTGTTCCCCTGGATTGACGTTTTGTCTTTTATGTTTCTACTTCCTCCCTACCAGGTAACCAGAATTCTCATTCTCCCTCCAGATATAGATCCTGCTTTTAGGAATAACCCTATGTATGCCTGCAGACCAAAGTATCAATGTTTAATACGGTTCAGTGTGTTTTCTCTCCCAGGAACATCTGTAGAATCCATTTGACTTAATTCAAAGGAATAAAATACTAAATTACAGAATTTTAAAAATGAGTAGAGGAACTTCAGGGACAGGGTAGGGAAAGAAAGGACAGAGACCTGCATGGCGAGTACTGGTTCCCCTAAGGCTCACCCTGACACTGGGACAGCTTGATCTACAAGCTAAGTGGCAGAGGAAAGGGATGCCCATAGAGAGATAAGCAAAGCAGTAATTATTTTACAGAACAGTTTACCCTGGGAATTACAAAACTCAGCTTACAATAATTTCATGAACTCAGCAAATATTTATTGAGGGGCAGCAATGAAGATGCATGGATGAATTAACATGTGGCTCATATTCTTAGTCATTTCTTGTCTAAAGGTGGTAAGGACAAGGTAGTGATGAGATCTGGGTATTTCAAGTGCAGTCACAGAGGTATACACAAGTCCTCAAAGCCACATTTTACACCTCAGGAGACAGAACCAGACTTTACCCACAGCTCACATTCTTCTACAGGTGAGTCACTGTGCTTCTTTCTTCTTTCTTTTCTTTTTAGCCTTCTCTTTTTGATCTGCCTGGTTGTACTTCATCTCATTCTTTTTCCTCTTCCCACCCACACCCCCATCCTGCTGTTTTCTGATCTTTCTTTCCAAGAGCACACAGTGGCTTTCTTTGTAAAGATTTCTGTGTGTTTACAAAAGTTGAAGTGATTCTCTTTCATGTGTTCAGTATTGGCCCAAAGGTTTAGTTCTAGATTTTTTATTCTGGCTTCATGAAAGGAAAAAGTCTTGTGTATGTGTGTATAAGTACATGTGCACTTAAGCATTGCCCCTGAAGAATCATCACATAAACACATGTGCATACATGCACACAAGCACACAGCTCTCCTAAAGAACCTTGGAGGCCTCTGCCCCTCATTCCTGGGAGAATTGCTCTAGCAACAGGACCACAAGGTGCAGTCACTTCCCAGGGACTGGCAACTGTTCCCATAACCATTCCTGTGCTCAGCCTTTCAGCCCTTTATTGCATTGTCATTCATCCCAAGTGCAACTGTAATTGATATCTCTGCTAGATGGACACCTTCTAACAAAAGGTCATATGTAGTAGTCAGTGTAATATATACCCCCCCACCCCAACTCCACTAGGCAACTAGACCCTAGCCCTCTCCATCTACCCATCAGTCAGGGTACCCAGTGCAAGGTCCTCCTCTCCCATGAAGGTGATTCTGTCTTGGCCAATCCAGTCAGCGCTGCCACCCTGTGGTCTTCTGAACAACTTGTATCACTTGTACTTCCTAGATTTCAATTTGGGTTGTACTTTTTATTGTTAATTTTCCAAATGCCAGTGAGTTGCTTTGTTTTCCCTAACTGCTTTAAACTCTTCAAAAGCTACAATATCTCTATAACTTCCCAGGGAAACTTGCCAATCATCATGAACAGCTCTTTATTGATTGCTTGCCTGGCCTCCAACTGTGAGAAGAGAAACATCAAAGAAACCACAGTCTTAGGTTGATTTTAGAACCCCTGCTGCCAGGACTCTCTTTTCGTTTACATTTACACATATGTTTATACCTATCTGGTCTCTCAAGTACAGTGTGGCTGGTTTGTTTGCTCAGAGTGATTTTGAACAAAAGCCCTGACTGAGCAGGCTATTCTTTGTGGGCACAGGATACTTTCCGCTGACTTTCCGTTTCATAAACGAAGCTTTACACACCAATGTGTTACAAACGTCTTTCCTGTTTTCTTCATCCCTATTTTCCTCTTTCCTAGAGTCACAAAAGCTTCAGGCAAAGCTTGAGAGGACTCACCAGGTGGTAGAGAAAATTACTGTCTACAATCTACAGGTATTAAAAAAGCCCCAAACCCCACAAACAATGTAGAGCACTGACTGCAAAATCTCTTGTATTCCAAATCAGTCAGAAACTACTGAGGAATGTACTCATGGCTGGAAGGGACACAAAGCATCTGCAGAGAAGGCTGAAAAGATTAATCGAGACCTGGAAACTAGGACCCTGGAGAGGAAATGTTTATGAGTTCATTTGTCCTGAAGAAAAGGGTGCTGTAAAGTGACTTCCTGGTGATCTTGAATACATAAAGTGTTGTTATAAGAGAAGAGGCCTACCATCTGGGTAGGTGCTCAGTGACCATTCATTCATGATGAAGCTAGTAACCAACTCTTCACCATCTTTAACAAGAACTGCAAAAGAGGACTTGACCTTTTATTATAGCGATTGGGACTCTGGTTAGATATTACAATGACCTTTTCTACAATGAGGGTTGTTAAAAACCTGAATTGTATTTCTGTGGGAGATTGTGAAATCTCCTTTCAGAAAGTCTCTAAAAAACTGCACAACTTTACAGTACTCTCCAGTTATTTTATTTTAGTTTTGTGGCCAAAGCTGGGGAGAAGGACTAAATGACCTTTCAAAGACCCTTTGAACTTCACAGTTCAGGGAATGGGTATTAACAAGGTTGATGGCTTTATGCATGATAGTCATATCCAGTAATTTACTGTCACCAGTGTGCCCAAAGGACTCTATAGAAGGGCTTTTTAGTTGGTTTTCCTCCTTCTCTTTACATACTCCCCTCTAAAAGATGTATTAATGTCAGCCACTTACTAATGGAAATTTAACTCAGTGCTCATGTTACGACCTTAACTATATACCAGATTAGAATCTATTTTGCAGGATTCAGATAAGTGACTGAGAATTAACATAGGAACATAGCAAGTACCTTTCCAAACATATGATATTCTGTTTT